GATCTTCATCCATTTCAGGAGGTGGCATATGATCTAGAACCAATGGTACTGAAGGAGGAAGTAGAAGCTGTAATGAAGGAATTGGCGAAGAACAGGGCTCTGGGAATTGACGGAATACCCATTGAGATATTTCAATAAACGGACGCCACACTGGAGACAGTCACTCGGTTAAGTCAAGAGATTTGGAAGACAGATACCTGGCCAACTGACTGGAAGAAATCCATATTTGTACCCATTCCAAAGACAGGTGATCCCACACAATGTGGTAATTATCAAACAATATCATTAATATTGCATATTGCACACAAGTAAGATCTTACTGAAAATAATTCAAAAATGGTTGCAGCAGTATATTGACAGAGAACTTCCAGAGGTGCAAGCTGGATTCAGAAGAAGATGTGGAACAGGATGTCCTGGAGAAGGATGTCATGCTTGGTAAGGTGGAGGGTAAATGAAAGAGGGGAAGGCCTTCGACAAGATAGATTGACATGGTGGCTGCGACAATGGGCTCAAGTATAGCAAAGATCATGGAGCTGGCGCAGGATCGGGCAGTGTTTCGTTCTGCTGTGCATGGGGTCGCTATGAGTTGGAAGCGACTCGACGGCACCTAACAACAACAATGTGTGTCAGAGAACAACTGGGATCCATAGGGTTTTCAGTGGCTGATTTTTTTGGAAGTAAATCACCAGGTCTTTCTTCCAAGATACCTCTGAGTGGACTCAAACCATCACTCTATCAGTTAAAAGTTGAGTGTGTTAACCATTTGTAGCACCCAATTACCCCAATGTAGTAGATAAATGTTCTTATTGGCATTTTGTTGAAATCAGAGATCAGGTGAGGGTAGAGGGCATAATCAAAGAGAACTAAAGTAAACAAAAGTAGGTGATGAAGGGAAAGAAGAAAAATCAAAATCTTGAAAGACATAAACACTCCCATCAACTCCTCTTCCCCCAAGAGGCCCACTGACCTTATACTGCCCCTTGGCTGGCCAAAGTCTCCCATTACAGTGTTCTGCCTGTGTGTGCCAGTGGCTCTTAGGGGTGTTGCCTCATAGCTTCATTGTCAGAGTCTGTGTGTTCTGTGTTCCAGTCTTTCAGGGTTCTATTCAGAGAGTCAGCCCTCTATAAACCCTCTCTGCTGGTACATGTGATTGTCAAGAAAGCCTTTCCCCTTTTGTTGTCATCTCTGTTCCATTAAAAAGCTTAATATAGTATAAAATGAGCAATTTAAAGACAAGGGCACCATATTAACCAAGTAATCAAAGTTTGTGTCACCAGTATGGGCATCACAAGCTCCCTGATATGATGCTTTGAGAAAGCACATCACTCGTATGGTGTTCTGATCAAAAATATGTAACCATAGTCCAGTCAGGAAAAAACATCAGACAAAGCCAATTGTAGGACATTTTACAAAATAACTGTCCAAACCAAACTCACTGCCATCAAGTCAGTTCCAACTCATAGCAACCCACATAAAGTTTCCAAGTATGTACATCTTCACGGAAGCAGACTGTGTAATCTTTCTCCATGGAGCAGCTGATGGGTTCAAACCACCAGCCTTTAGATTATCAGCCAAATGCGTTAACCACTGCACCACCAGAGTTCCTTAAATAACTGGCCGGTACTCTTCAAAAAGGAACCCTGGTGGCACAGTGATTAAGCCCTTGGCTGCTAACAAAAAAGTATGCAGTTTGAACCCACAAGCCACTCTGGGGAGAGAGCTGTGGCAATCTGTAAATATTTACAGCCTTGGAAACTCCATGGGGCAATTCTGCTCTATCCTATAGGGTAGTTTGAGGCTGAACCGACTAGAAAGCAGCAGGTTTAGTTTTCTTCAAAAGTATCAAGTCATGAAAGAAAATGTCACAGATTGGGGAGATTAAGGAGACATTACAAAAAAAAAAAAAAAAGTGGCCCTGGACAGAGTGGAATAAAAATGTAAAACAAAATTCAAAATCAGACTTACTGGTCTGATAGAGACTGGTAGAACCCCTGAAGCTCCTTCAGGCCTGGAACTGAACTGATACCCCAGGGAGCAACTTTCAGCCAAACAACAGATAGAACTATACAGTGAACAGTAACACATGTAAGGAACAATTAACCATGTGAAATCAAAGGGACAACATTTGCCCTAAAACAAAGCTCACAAGGCAGGAAGGGTCAGGAAAGATGGGGAAATGGAAACAGTGAACCCAGCGAGGAAGTGGGAAGAGTGCTGTGACATTGAGGGAACTGCAACCAATGTCACAAAGCAAAGTGTATAAATTGTTGAATGGAAAACTAATGTGCTCTGTAAACTTTCACCCAAGGCACAATAAAATGTTCAAAACAAAAGGGGGGGACACATTACAATTAAATCCAATGTGAGAAGCTGGATTGAATCCCAAACTAGAAAAAGGACATTAGTGGGAAAACTGGTGAGATCCTAATAAAGTCTGTAGTTTTTAATAGTATTATAGTGATGTTGAGTTCTTGGTTTTGATCATTGTACATGGTTAAGTAAGAAGCTAACATTAGGCGAAGCTGGGTGAAGGCTATATAGAGATGTACTATTTTTGCAGCCTTTCTGTAAGCCTAAAATTATTTTAGAATTTAAAAAAATAAAAAGGGAAGAGGGCTCTAAGTAAGATGTAATTGAATACTTGCCTTATATTCAGTAAAGAATGTTGTTTTATTTTGGCCCCTTTAACACACTTGTGTTGTGTTTATGATGGCTAGTTCAAAGTTTTTACAGAAAAAAGATAAAAATGTGAGCCTGCATACTAAACAGCAACTTCAGATAACATCAGACATTGGAAACTCCCATATATGCAGTTATTACAAAACTAATTGAAATAATTGGAGAAATGGAGATAAATGGACTAAATTTTTTGGCATCACAGTTTTGAGTGTTTTCTTGGCTCCAAGGATGGGT